ACACACACACACACACACACTTTGCTACCGGTGGGTGCATCTCGAGTGAGTCACCACCCAGAGAGGGTTGGAGGGGAGGGGGGCGACAGTTTGCCTCTGAAGCTGATGCGCGTGCTGGAGTGAAGAAGTGACACAGGGTGGTCGACGTCGCCGGCACGGTGGTGGTCTTCGCTATGAGAAGAAAAGCTATCCTATGTGTGTGTGGGTGTGGGTGTGAGCGTCCGCTTCGAAAATCGCCTGGACCCCAAGGTCACCATGATCAAGGGATTAAATCGTATACGCATAGCAGGGCGATTCAATTCAATTCCAAATTTCGTTTACTTTTCAAAACGTACATTTATTTAGGATTCTTTTTTCACATAGTCCTTGTGCTTCACCGTATGCAAGTATTTATTGTACAAGCAAGGGAACTCTTGTCACATTGATAGTTAATATCCAAAGAGCATTTAACCTTATTTTACAAATGGGTATAATAAAACACAAAATGAAAGAGATTGGAATCAAGAGCTCCTGCCCTGTGAGGGTTCGCGTAGAAGTCAATGATGCGGGTTTACCTTGGTAAAAATGACCTGTGTGGAATATTATTCATGAGCCAAAAGACTCAAGTGATGCTCTTCAGAGGGTTTCTCTATCGAGTGCATTATTAGATGTGAACGCAGACCTCCGGTTGTAGAAAATTTTCTTTTACACTCAGTACACTCAAAAGGTTTCCCTCCCGTGTGCCTATGAGTGTGGGTTGGCAAAGTATTTCTGCCAGCAAACGTCTTCTGGCAGAATGTTCACTCAAATGGCTTCTCGCCCGTATGCGTTTGTAAATGTCGTCTCAGGTCTCTGGGCCGCGCAAATTTCTTGTTGCACACATTGCACTCAAATGATTTCTCACCCGTGTGCGTTAGTACATGTCTTCTCAAATGACTAGAACGCGGATATTTTTTGTTGCACACAGTGCACTCAAATGGTTTCTCACCCGTGTGAGTTCGAAAATGTGAACGGAGATTCGCATTTTGCGCAAATTTCTTGTTGCACACAGTGCACTCAAAGGGTTTCTCACCCGTGTGCGTTGGTAGATGTTGACGCAGTTCACTGGCTTGCTTAAATTTTTTGTTGCACACAGTGCATTTAAATGGCTTCTCGCCCGTGTGCGTTAGTAGATGCCGTCTCAAGTCACCGGCTTGCGCAAATTTCTTGATGCACACAGTGCACTCAAATGGTTTCTCGCCTGTGTGAGTTCGGAAATGTGCACGGAGATGCGCTCGTTGCGCAAATTTCTTGTCACATACAGTGCACTCAAAGGGTTTCTCACCCGTGTGCGTTGGTAGATGTTGACGCAGTTCACTGGCTTGCTTAAATTTTTTGTTGCACACAGTGCACTCAAA